TCTTGGTCCAAAAATTTGGTCTTTCTTGATCCCATAATCCAAAACAATCCAAGGAGAAAAATAGGTTTTCTCATCATGTGTAATTTTAGCATTGGGGTTTCGGCGAGTCTTATATCTCTCACTAGCATCCWCATAATATACTTTTTTGGAAACTTCTCACTCCAGAAACGGTCCCGTATGGTTTGCGGGAAATAGGAATCAGGAATCGGAATGGCCCATTCCCGTTCCAATTATTTGGTGGGTGGAATCAGAACCGCATTCCAATTCCTCCTAGAATGCATGGCCATTCCCTCCTTTCACGGGAATGAAATCTCATTCTAACTGATTTCAATTCCTGTCTGAACCAAGCAAATTATGGGAATAAACCATTCTGATTCCAATTCTGAAGGATTTAAATTCCAATTCTAACTGCAAACCAAACAAACCCTTAGAGTCTTACCTTTGGTTTCTTCTTCTGTGAGATCACCATGAGATAGAATGGTCAGTGTGCACATTCCACAAGATCACTATTCTTGTGTGAGGCTTACAATGGGTGAGGCCCATCCTTTAACCTTTGAAAACCCCATCATTTGCGAGGCCCGTCTCGTAACTCTTATTTAGAGGTGTAAATATGGCCGTGTGCAGCCTGTGCTGAGTCGGGCCGTGCTTCCCTCCCTTGGGATACTTTGGGGGGTCAGCCCAGCATGACCCATGTGGGCCCATGCCGCGAATTGAGCCAAGCTATGTTTTTTAAAAATTAAAAAAAAATAATGAAAATTTTAACATAAATTTTAAAAATAGACAAAAAAATAAAAAATGATCTTAAATTTATATATATATATATATGGATCGTGCTAGGTTAGGCCGCAGACCGGGCCGACTATGGACCTGAAACCCCAGACCCAGCATGGCCCATACGATCGTGCCATGCCCAGCACGACCCATAGTCTGTTATGCCGAGCTGTGCGGAATCGGCTCAAAATCTTGTGCTCAAGCAAGGCCCGATTTACAACTCTATTGTTTGTAGAGTGAAACCCATCTTCCATTGTTTGACCATTATGTTGACTAACGATTGATTGGAGCCATATTAATTTATTTTCTCATTTTGGCATTCTGGTGTTTGATTGCTGAGAAGGGAAAATTACTGTTCATCGTCTTCCTTCAAACTCAAACCAGTGACTTGGACGAGGTGAGTTTCAATCTCCCCCTCTCTCTCTCTCTTCTTTTTCTTCTCCCTCTTTGTTTTTTTTCTCTTCTTCTGCATCTTTTTTTTCGCTTGCCACTGCTACTTGAACCAACAACTATGAGCATGAATGCGGAGAAGATAACAAATCCCATGAACAAGCACAACTGGAAAAGCAAGTTGAAAGAGAAAAAGCTTACTGCGACATGAATACTCTTTTACCAAAACCGGAGGAGGCCACTGCACGTGTGGTTCCCTTTCTCACTGTTTCAGTGTAACCCTGCATTCCAAGTTTTGGGAAACGAAATTACACTATTTCTCAGTCCGTCTCACAAAACAAATGAATGAAAATGGGAATCTAAGAAAAATATTCCCATTTTCTCTTCTCGGTCTCACCAACCAAACAGACTGATAGTATACAAAAAGTAGGATCGGGGAGATAGCCTTACATCCTTATGCCCATGGGCATGAAATTCAAAAGATCATTTGTCACCCCAATTATTCCACTTCTTGAGTCGCTTATTTTACACCTATTTGGCTAATGCCGAAAATCCTACACCTCCCTGTTAATTTTTCTCCCTTTTGTTTTGCCTCAACAATTCAAGCCTCCACGTGTTCAGCTTAATCCATAGCAAATACATTCTTTTAGTGGCATGCATGATATATCTTATATAAAAAGTTTTTTTTTTTTCGTTTTGTTTGACAAAAATATAAAATAAAATAAAGTAGGTAAGCCCAAAATGCGGGATTTAATTTCACCTTTCTGTGTTACAAATAAGATGGGGATTGTTTTTTGGGGATAAGTACTGGATTGCAATCCACCTAAGAAATCTGAAATTGCAGCCCCCTCCTATAAACCGCCGCATCCTGCTCATGAATTTGGCATTGATCCATGGACAGGATTTAGTCCGCCCCTAGAAATCTTAGCTCCACCCTAAGGGTGGATTCAATTATAAAAACCCCTTGTTTTTTCCCATTGATTCACTTTTCACAATAACAAAATAAATAAATAAGTGAAGGAATAACAATAATGAATCGTTAAAAACATTGTGCTGCAGTCAAGTTATCTTATTTCAATTAGCCTACAAGATTGTTATCATGTAATCACCCTCCCTCTCATCTCTTCTAGTTAATGATCTTATGTAAATGACCAAGTAGTACCCCATTTGCATGGCTCTTACTTAATAACAGGGACAAAATCTCCACCCTTRCGAGATTTGTCTTCAAACAAATAATTCCCTTGCCTCAGGGCCATTAACATAGGGTTATCCCTTCCTAAAACATTGGACTCTTCCTAGCAAATAAACAAGAAGCAAGCTTAAAATTAAACACGTTTGAATTTATATGTATATATACCTTGTATCCATTCCTCTCATAACAAATTCATTGAGATTATTAATAGTGTAATTAAGTGTGCAACAATGCAACAATCTTTAGCAAGCTTCTTTATGCTAGAAATGTATTAAAGTTAGAGTGCTACCAAAAATGAAGAATGGAAGCTTTGATGGATTGGCTGCCTATGCTTTAAAGATCTCCACACCAGCATCATATCTCTCTGAGGAAGCTCCAAACATTTCAAGCATCAAAGCTCACAGGTGCCACCGCACTCGGTACATTGAGGCTAAGGATTCTGTCCGTCGAGAGGGGGACGGTGAACTGTCCGATACATACAATGGCGGGCTGAGGGTGTTCCCCTACAACATTCAAGTCGGCGTTGTGCCTGTTGCTGCTGGAGAAAGCCATGGAAGCTAAGGTTTCTTTGTGAGAGAGAGAGAGAGAGTTAAAGGTTAGGGGAGGCTTTTTGAAGTCTTCCCACAGACGGCGCCAAATGATGATGTGCAATCCGATCGATCCTAGCTGTCGGTTACCTCGCCTTTGACAAAATTGGAGGTGCCTGAAACAAGGAAGAAAATGGAGACTTCCGGGGAGGAACCCAGTTGGAACACTCCGAAGCTCTTGAGAAGGCAAGGGGAATGAGGGACTTCAAGACCAGAAAGCACAAGAATCACATACCTCCTTCTTTGGGGGAAGGGGGTCTTTTATAATCACCCTGGTACACTCACTCCCATACCTCTGCCAGATCGGGCATCATCACCTCCGCCAGATCGGGTGTCATCATCTCTGCCAGACGCCAGTTCAGGTGTCATAACCTCTGCCAGTTGCCAGTTCGGGTGTCATAACCGCCACTGTCTTCCTTGTCAGGGCCGTCTCTACCACGCCTGAGATGGCGGTGGCAGGTGGCCATTGGAGGGCGGCTGTCATGTGTCGGACCCCTAATCAGTCAGGCGCGCCACCTCCGTGTACGAGCTTCCTGGGCGTCAGATACGGTTGTTCAGTCAGACGACTTGGAGCTGAAGTGGTGTGCGAGGTGAAGTCTTGAGTTCGGATAGAAGTATGGCCCGAACTGCCCCGGGGTGGGTCAGCTCGGGTTTTTTCCCTTTGCGCTCCTTGTAAGGCTCAGGACCTCCAAGGGAGAGTTCGGGTTCTTCCTTGGGGAGCTCGGGACCTTTTCTCGGAGCTCGGGTTGTGGGCCCACTGCCGTGCCGAGCTGGCGCTTCTGCTAGGTCACTCTCGGTTGCTTCCACGTGTCGCATGGCCAAGGGGTCGGGCCAAATCTCCCTCCATCAAATATTATTAAGGTTTTAGTCTTTCTGATTAGGATTAAGTGAAGTGATTATCTTAAAAGAAATACATGATACTATGTGGTGGGGGCTATACAAATATCATGCATCTAAACAATCAATGTATATTATATATTACATATAACACATATTTATATGTGGCATGTACTATAGAGTTGGGTTCRGGTTGGGTCGGGTTGGCTAAGGGGTCAACCCTAACCCAACCCGAAGTAAAATCGGGTTCATGAATTTCAACCCTAACCCTAACCCGACCCAACCCAACCCAATTTTTTCGGGTTGGGTTAGGGTTGGGTTCGGGCCAACCCGGCCCAAGTTGCAGCCTTACTTGGAAGGATCATCCCCTGTGAGATGCTCACCCCTAGTCCAAAAATATAGAGATCAAAGAAAGCAATCACTTACATAATGCGTACTCGCACATGTGCTGAGAAGGAAAAGTGGCTGACTGGTTAACAAATGTTGGGCAATTAAACTTGGTAGATTTAGGCCCTGTTTGGTTTGCGGGAATAGGGACTGGAATCGGTTATTTAGATTCCAACTATTTGGTTGAGTGAAATCAGAATCCAATTTCCATTCCAGCTGGAATGGCATTCCCCCATTTGAGAGAACAGTCATTCCCTGCCCCTTGAAAATGAAATCCTATTTCTGTTGATTCCAATTATCATTCACATTCCTGTCTGAACCAAACAGACTGAGAATAGACTATTCCGATTTTGATTCCGGAGGATTTCCATTTGATTCCAATTTCAATTACAAATCAAACGGACCCTTAGTTGATAATTTCTATGAATATATGGCGTAGGACTTTGCTTCGTTAGGTTGTCTATCTTCCCATTTGTATTTAGAAGAAAAAAAACAAAAACAAAAACAAAAACAAAAACAAACAAAAAAAAAGAAACTGGTATATATCGCTAAATATGTGAAATTATGATGTCTAAACAGGAAAAATAAGAAGAGGTTGGATTTTACAAAATTCCAATTCTATATTTCTATTCACGCCTAAGAGAAATGGAGGATTCCCCAGACACTCTAATAAAGCCCGGCCCATCTCTCCAAAGACTAGCCCACTATAAAACAAAGAATAAC